TATTAGAAAATGCTCTTGAAACAAATAGAATTCAATGAAGCTTCAGGTTTGAATAAACAGATATATATTCATAAATAAAAACAATAATTTCCCACAAAAACTCTGTATGAAGTAGTTTCTGATTTGCAGATCACTGAAAATTTAGCATGCTAAATATAGGCCTTTTTTGTCTTATTTTTTCCTCTCCCCAAGGAAGTAAGTACAATAGAAGAAGGACAGGTTACTGAAGCAAAAAGAAATTGCTTAAGGAGTCTAGCATGTTCCTTCAAATAAATGTCTCACTAAAATTGGAGTTTGTTTCACTGCCTGTTAAAATGTGGATTCTTTCTTGTGAAAGAAAAATCCCAAAGAAGAGTGATATGCTCTGAAAAAAAAGTGCACCTTTCATCTTTTGTCCCCAGAACTATCAGATAAAGGAATAGTTATATTCATTATAGTAGAGCTGGAATTGTGGTTTTCCCATGATTGAAAGTCTTCTCAATCATCCCACCAGCTTTTTCTACTGGAAAATAATGTTACCTCAACAAAGGGAAAGCATCATCAGCTTTCAGAGGAGGAAGCCAGAAGAATCTTAAGGAAGATCCTCTATTCAGGAGCATTTCAAGGTTATAGGATAAAATATAGAGGTGAATATTCATTAAAATGTGGATAATGAAGGAATGACCAACAGGAAAAATGCAGACTTCATGAGGGTAATCTTGACAGTGAGGTCACTTCACATCAGAAAATATGTTTTGAATAGTTTAGGTGGTCCCCCTCTATGTGGTTATAGATCACACTGTACATTGCATATGATCACACTTTTCACACTGCATGGCAATTATTATTCTCTTTCACTAGACTATAAAGTCCAAGAAGACAGAGATCATGTGCTTTTTCCCACTGTCTATATTCCCAGTACCAAGCGTAGTGCCTTGCAAATTGTAGATACTGAAGAAATCTTTCCTGAGTAAATATTTGATGAACCCACCATGTTCCCAGCATGGCTCTAGGTGCTCCAGAGGATACAGAGGTGTATAATATCCAGCCTCTGGCCAGGAATTTTTGGCCCATTTGGGATGGGGTGGGCAGAGGGACTATGGCATATGTAAGAGACACAGACACAAATTACTCCACTAAAAAGCATAGGGAGTTAGATGCTTTAATAGAGGTATAAATGGGATTCAAAGAAAGGGGATAGCATAACAGTATTGAGTCAACCACAAAATGTTTCATGAAGAATAGGAAATTTGAGAAAAGCCTTTACAAATAGGTAATATCAATAGGCAAAAAAGAAAATATTCCAGTCTGAGGTAGTAGAATGAGCAAATTCTGTTTGTGAAAAAGAAAAAGTCACTCTGAACACTAGGAGCTTAGTTTGGCCGGAGTGCTGGGCATGTCAGTGGAGTAGTGGGAGATAAATCTCTAAGGGTAGATGACACTGTTATTAAGGAAGCCATTGACTGCCAAACTATATATCTGTGATTTGTGAAAAATAAGGAGCCATTAATTCTTTTAAAAAAGCTCATCTTATAAAAGAAAATCATGAAAGCATTATATGAATGGAATGAAAAAAAAAATAAGGGATAAAGAGACAAATTAAGTAAGAGGGACCTGAACTAGAGTAGAAATGAAGCAAATAAAAAATGGGAAGGTTATAAAAAATAATACAGTTGGAGAAAATGACATCCATTATAATAATATTTATCGAGCACTTACTATGTACCAGGAACTGTGTTAACTGCATTGCATACATTAGCTCAGTTAATTATCAGATTGACTCTGTAGTTAGGTACTATGATTATTTTCATTTTATCAATGAGAAAATTACCAGAGCGGTTTAGTACTGTACTTAAGATCACACAGCTATCAATTGAAAGACCAAGGATTTAAACCCAGGTCTTTCTGACTCCTAAACATACATTATTTCTCACATCGTATACATCTTCTCACTATGAACTTGTTTGGAAGTGGAGAATAAGTGAGAAAGATTCAATGTCTATAAAACTTTGAGACCGGTTATCTGAGAAAATATTGGTGTATTTAATAACAATGAGGAAGTTTGGAATAGAATCTGGTTTAAAGTTGGGAGAGGTAATACTTTTTTTGTTGTTGTTTGGGATATATTGATTTTTATGATCAATTAGTGTCTATTTTCAAAAATTATTTCATTCAACAGATATTGAGCACTTACTCTGTGCCTTGCACAGTTCTTGGCTCTGGTATACAGGAAGTAAAGAAAACGCGCAAGAATCCTTGTCCTGATGGCCTTTATGTCTTAGTAGGGAAATATATATTTTAAAAATAAGTAAAAAAGATAGAGTATGCTAGTGATGATTGATATGGATAAAATAAATACTGAAAGGAAATGGAAAGTGTTGGAGAGAACATAATTTTAAATAGGAAGATCAAGGAAAACATCATGGAAAGGTAACATTTCAGTGTATGTATGTGAGTGTGTGTGTGTGTGTGTGTGTGTGTGTGTGTGGTGTGAGAACACATAAAATCTGCTCAATTTCAAGTAAACAATATAGGATTATTAACTATAGTAACCATGCTGTATGTTACATCTCCAAAACTTATTCATCTTATAACTAAAAGTTTGTACCCTTCGACCAACATCTCCCCATGTCCTGCTCCCTTCAGCTCCTGACAATCATCATTCCACTCTCTGCTTCAAGTTGAACGATTTTAGATTCCACATTTAACTGAAATCATGTGATGTTTATCTTTCTGTGACTGGCTTATTTCACTTAGCATAATGTCCACCAGATTCATCCGTGTTGCTGCAAATGGCAAGCTTTTCTTCTTTTATATGGCTGAATGATATTCCATTGTACACAAATACACCTCATTTTCTTTATTCATACATTATTCAATGGACACTTAGATTGTTTCCATATCTTGGCTTTTGTGAACAATGCTGCAATGAACACAGGAGTGCTGATGTATCTTTGAGACACTGATTTCATTTCCTTTGGAAATTTACCCAGGAGTGAGATTGCTGGATCATATGGTACTTCTATTTTTAGTTTTTGAGGAACCTCCATAATGTTTTCCATAATGGTTGTACCGATTTATATTTCCACCAGTGATATACAAGGATTCCCTTTTCTCCACATCATTGTCAATGCTGTTTATCTCTTTTATTTCGATAACAGCCATCCTAACATGCATAAGGTGATATCCCATTGTGATTTTCAGTTGCATTTCCTTGATGATTAGTGATGCTGAGCACCTTTTCATATACCTTTTGTCTGCCATCTAAATTTGTCTGTCACCTAATCAAAATCACTGTGAAATTATTTCAAAGATGTACTTCAATTTGAGAGCTGACCAATCTCAATTTTAAAAACTCTTTCAATATTGATGTTATTCTTTATAATTTTGCTTCCTTGTGTTTTATAACACCATCTTTCTACATCTTCCTTACCTGAGAAATCTCAAGTATTTAACCTCTTCAACCTGAAGGCATGGTTCATACCACTCATTAAACCTTTTAAATAAAGCGAGCACCATATCTTTGAACAAAATGTACCATTTTACTTACCAGGCAATTGAGGAAAAATAATAACAATAACAAATTTCTTCAGGGGCTGAAGCAAGCATACTTCAAACCACAAAGATTTGATAATCCAAAGCAGGATGTTTTATAATTCCGATTTCTTTTTTGTTCTTCCCACATATCTTTAAAATCAGTTAAGTTCTTCTAGATTTCAGCAGTCTGGAGGTAACTGTCCAGATCCCTAAACTAAAATTTGTTTACCTCAGAACAAGGGTCATAGACCCAGCAGAGCCAACTTTCTGGAGATTTTGATTCTCTGTTTTAATTCTATTGTCTTAGATTTGTTTAATGCTGTTGTCTTGGATAGTTAAGAGGTGACTAAATGACTCACGTAAATGGAAGCATTTAAAGAGAGGCTGGTTGCCCACTTATTTTCAGAAATCCTGGAAGGATTTGGGTCAAATAAGTGGCTCTCAAATGGTGGTTCAGGGACAAATGGTCAGCTGGCTATATGAGAATCATATGGGGAACTTTTAATAATACAAAAATTCCAGGCCCTACCCCATACATATTTAATCAAAATTTCTACCCAGAAAGCTGTATTATTTTTTAACTTCCCCAGATGAGTCTGACAATCAGTGAGGTTTGTGAATCAATGGTCTAGATCAGAGCTTCTCAAATGTTAATATGCAAAAGAATCAGCTGAGGTAATTGTTAAAATGCAGATCCCTATTCAGCAGGTCCGGGGTAGGGCCTAGGATTCTTATGAATTGCTAACAAGCTCCAAAGCGACGTTGGTTCATGGATTTTGAGTAACAAGGGGCTAGATTACCTCTCAGGTTCTTTCTAGCTATACTTTCCTGTGATTATAAAGTACATTATAGAAACTGTAGCACATTACCCTCACTCACATCAAAATTTTTCATTCAAACTAATATATTTTTCTGCCTATAGGTTTTTTTGTTTGTTCAAAAAGTGTACCAGACAATAATTCACTTATTTTCTTTCATTTGCAGCTCTGCCTTTGTTTTCCACTTTTTAGCTTTCGACACATAACTGAAAAAGTCCCAGAAAAGTTTCCAAGTTAATCATCCCTGAAGAGTGGCGGATCCACTGCGCACTGAAGCAAACCTTTCTTCTATGTGAGCCAAAAAAAGAAAAACAGTCTGCCAAACATCTGTAAAGAGATGGCTATCATCATATAGGAATTTGAGGAGCTGCTATACAGCATGATCCAAATGGGAGAGAATCAACTGTCATAATGTCCCAGAAGGCCTTATAATAAATAGAGCAAACAATAGGGGAAAATCTGTGCTTGCACACTAGACTTCCATGTAGTTACTGTAGACAAATCCAAAGCAAACATTCAGATAGTTCTTTGAGAAGTCCCTAAATCATATGTAAAGGCTCAGACAGGTATCACAGAAAGGTTATTTTATACTCAGTATCTCCAACTCATTGTCCATCTTTTAGAAGTAGCAGCAGTTGATCGTGAATTAAGGGTTTGAACCACCATTAGGCAAAGATAGTTTCTCTAGAGAGAATCATGCCTGCTAATGACACATGTACTGAGCCGGATGGAGACAGCACAGATTTTCGGTACTTTATCTATGCAGTGACATACACTGTCATTCTTGTGCCAGGTCTCATAGGGAACATATTAGCCTTGTGGGTATTTTATGGTTATATGAAAGAAACCAAACGGGCTGTGATATTTATGATAAACTTAGCCATTGCTGACTTACTACAAGTTCTCTCCCTGCCACTGAGGATCTTTTACTACTTAAATCATGACTGGCCATTTGGGCCCGGCCTATGCATGTTCTGTTTCTACTTGAAGTATGTTAACATGTATGCAAGCATCTACTTCTTGGTCTGCATCAGTGTGCGACGATTTTGGTTTCTCATGTACCCCTTTCGTTTCCATGACTGCAAACAGAAATATGATCTGTATATCAGCATTTCTGGATGGCTGATCATCTGCCTTGCCTGTCTACTCTTCCCTCTCCTCAGAACCAATGACGAAACTCCTGGCAACAGAACCAAATGCTTTGTGGATCTACCTACCAGAAATGTCAATCTGGCCCAGTCTGTTGCCATGATGACTGTTGGAGAGTTGATTGGGTTTGTAACTCCTCTACTGATTGTTCTATATTGTACCTGGAAGACAGTTCTATCACTGCAAGATAAATATCCTATGGCCCAAGATCTTGGAGAGAAAAAGAAAGCCTTGAAGATGATTCTAACCTGTGCTGGGGTATTCCTAATTTGTTTTGCACCTTATCACTTCAGTTTTCCTTTAGATTTTCTGGTCAAGTCCAATGAAATTAAAAGCTGCCTAGCCAGAAGGGTGATTCTGATATTTCATTCTGTGGCCCTGTGTCTTGCTAGTCTGAATTCCTGTCTTGACCCAGTCATATACTACTTTACTACCAATGAGTTCAGAAGACGGCTTTCAAGGCAAGATTTGCATGATAGCATACAACTCCATGCAAAATCTTTTGTGTGTAACCATACCACTTCTGCCATGGAAACTGAATTATGCTGAAAAAACCCCTGAATGTGGCCTGAAATGTAAATACATCAGAAACATTTGCAATACCCTGAGCCACAGTGAAGTACTCACGGGAAGCATTCACAACTTTTTAGTTATGGTCTGTCTTACCTATGTGGAGAATTCACATTTTCATAACATTTTCAAATATTTGGAGCGTTATGCTCCACCATCATTGATGTTGACATGTCCATTAGTAATTTGTCATCAAGTCTTTAAGACTTAAACTATAAAATTTCAATGATTCCCTGTACGTATATGCTCTCAACTAGAGTCAGCAGTTTTATCTGTGAACCTAAGGCACAGAGAGATTATTAGCTTGGGGCCACCATAAGCACTTATTTTTCTTACAGCAGACACTGAGTCTGTATTCAGAGGAAATGTAGATGTCTATTTATCACAGTTTACATTCCAATTTCATATGTTTGGTTGTATGTTTAGTAGGATAGAAAGTATACTATGCTAAGCAAACAAAATGTTATAAAAATAGGATCATTTTTATTATATCTCCTATGTGTGATTACACTTCAGGGTTTGAAGACTCAATTAGCTATTTTCTTCATCTCAGTGCCATTACCTATTCATAGCATGAGAATCTGAACTCAGGCCTCTGGTATGTTCAAACTAAGAACAATACACAGATTTACATACCATAATCCTCTGTGACCATATAAGATGTCATATTGTATCTACCCAGGGCAAGTAGTTTGACAAAGTCCATATAAAGTGGCCCAAATAACCTGTAGGCCCAGAACAAAGCAGATAGGTGACAATCACAGTTCTTAAATTATTTTCACCTGTGGAGATGTACAGACATGCCTAGTAGAGGGAGTTTCCACAATGCTTCTAGAGTAACAATGAAGTAACTCTGACAGGTTACTGCACTTTCTGAGCCTATGGAAGAAGTAGTGCACTAATAAATCACTAAGCTTAGTTCAGAGTGGAAAGATGAAGCAAAGTTGGGTAATCCTCTTAAGGTCTTCACCACATTATATTTCTTAATCTAAGCTAGGGTCACCTGGCTTAGACCGTCAAGCACCTAACGCAAATTAGGGTAGGTCTCGCTGTCCCATAATTGCAAATACATTCCCACTGCCCCATCATTGTAGTCAATCACATGGACCCTCGAGTCTGCGTTGATTTTGGTCCAGCTTTTCCCAAGCTATACCATTCAGAAACCTGCATAGCCTACTTCCTAGCAGCTGGGGTAGGCAATTCTTTCACTTTTTGAGAAAAGTGCAGAAGATTAATTCTGTCAGCCTTGGGCACCCACATTCAATGTCTTGCCTGCTACCTGTTTGGTACTATTATGTGGGAAACGGACCTAGGTAGGAGTACTAGTTAAACCTGAGGTTGTAAGTATTAGAATACTTTGAAACATGTTTTAGCAAATAGCTCTAATTTTAAAGAATGCTCTACTTAAATAAAATCTGTGTGCTATATAATGAAGACATATTCTACTTCTCATCTGGAAGGAATTGTAGAAGCCAGTCAAAGGCTATATCATATTTAGAGGGAGGGGGTTGTTTTAGGCACATAATTGTGATACTAATATGTTTGGGGGAAAATTGTCGAAATCAAAATGAATTCGAATATCTAAGATTAATGGAAAGTTTTCTAAAGTTTTCTCTGGACAAGTGTTGAGTTTGCTTGTACTTTGTTATTACAATAATATCCTATTAGAAAATTGACTTCGTGCTGCTAGAACAGTGTATCTATGTATCTCCTAATTATTCATTGTAAGGTACATGTTTTGATGTGTTAAATAAGTTTTAAATGAGTGTTATATTGTGTCTTTAAAAGGGTAATGTAACTGTGTCTGGTCTGTTTGTTTTAAATTGAAGTGTATTCGACTATAATTTAGTGTTGTAATAGGATTGCAAGTAATAATTTTGTGGAATTGTGAACCAACTGTGGTACTTGTAATGGGAGAGTCTTGTCTGTACTATATGTGCTTATTATTTTCTAGATTAGCATAAATTACACTTCTTAGGTCACTTTGGGAGACCACTGATTTAATTTTATTAACATATTGATTTCATTATAAACATATCTTTTTTTAAAGGGGAAGTGAAATATTTCCAGATTATTGACTTTCTTAAAGGAATGGTTGAGGGTAGAGCCTATTTGTTAGGCAACCAATTTACATCATTCATGGAGAGGACAAGCGTTCAGGGCTCTTATGTGCTTAGCTAAAGTCACCCCTTCTCTCCAGGCCTGCCCTTCTAGATTTGTATTCAGTGCTCTGATTTACTTTATTCATTCCCCCAACCCTATCACTATGTTTTGTCTTCTACCCCATTCCCTTGCTCTTCTAGGCAATAATCTGATCAACTAAATTCACTTTAAGGTGCTAATGACTAATGTTAGGTTAATATTAACTTACCCAGGGGTGTCTGAATTCCAGGCTTTAGGACTAGGCATTGACTCAAAGTGGTGACCTTCAGTATATACACTGAAGCAGATAGACTGGAGGGAAAAATATTTTGAAGAAAGTGTGTTCTTATAGCAGTGCCTTTCAGATTGCATATAGTAAATGACCACCTCCTTTACTTACCATAATGGGGATGCTAAATTCTAGGAAATATATCCATAAATGTGGCTATCAGTTTCTCAGATCTCTGCTTGTTTGTTTTTTGTTTTCCCTTTCCTTCTTTCTCTCTCTCTCTTTCTTTCTTATACACGAGTGTAAGGATTAATAAAATGTGGTATATGTATACCGTGGAGTTCTACTCAGCCACAAAAAACAATGGCGATCTAGCACCTCTTGTATTGTCCTGGATAGAGCTGGAGCCCATTCTACTAAGTGAGGTATCTTTCTTTCTTTTCTTTTTTTTTTTTTCTATCTCCTTCCCCATTCCTAGGGGAATGTCTAAAGTAGGAGAAAAATATAGCTGCACCTACTACCTAGACAGCATCCTTCTCTCTGAGCTTCTCCATTCCTTGGGGAATCTTCTCTCCAGACCTCTCATTTATCACTCTCCGGGCTTCATTAAATTGAGGTGTAAAGAGTAAACACCCTTGACTACAGTAATGTACAATTCAAGATAAATAATTCTGCATCTCTTATATAAGGTTGTTTTAATTTTTATTCCAAAATGTACACATAATTATTCCAATAAGAGATTTTTAATATGGGGTGATTTCCATGGTCTTATTATTTTCATTATTCTTATTATTATATTCTGATGGTTTATATGTTTCCATTGTCATTCAGTTAAGCAGATAATTTTATTAACTGGTACTCCCATGAAGTGGAGCCATCTGCCCCAGGACAAACAGACCAGGTTACCTTGGTCTGAAAGGGTGCATCAGTGGAACTCTTGTGCAACTTATTTTTTATGTCACCTTTTTGTTTTTACTCCCAAGATACTGTGAAAATGTTGCACTTGGAATTTATTTACGACTATAACTTATAATATGCATATCAATAATAAAGTTTGTCTCCGTAATTACATATAAATTTTCTGCCTCCAGAAGTCAATATGTATTTAATCACTTCTTTCAGACAACTGATACACTTGAGGATATTTGTTAGTGTTCTCACACATATGGACAAAAGTCCCCTGAGGTTCTAGTCTCCCTTTTCCTCCTTTGGAGAAGTGCTTTCTATTCTCAAAGGGAAAGATGAGCCGCTAACCCCACCTTACCAAACTCCTCACCCCACCTCCTCCTATAGATAGACTTTTTGCTATCCACACCCTGCTAAAATTATTCCCACCCTCACTGTGGACCTTTTATTTGAACTACTTAAATCCCTGTATTTGTAACAATGGTATAGAGGGGGTGATTTCTTCTTAGTCTTAAGAGTCGTTAAGTCCTGGCAGTCTGATTTTACTTGTGGATTAACAGGGAAAGAAAACCCATCCTCCACTGTCTCCCTCTTCCCTTCTCAAAACAGATCTATTTAGCAAAAACATGAAGTTAGGGAAATTGTCTCTGGCCCTCCCCTCATCCTAGCTTTCTTTCTTCCACTTCAGCAACTCCTTCCTCATCTCACTTATATGCCTACTGCTTTCAAGGGGCCCAGGTATCTTCTGAAATAACCAAGTTGTTAAGAATTATATATTTTAGCTGTTGCAAAAAGATTTTCCTAGGAAGTGGTAAAGGTTTCCTAAGGAGGAATTCTTGATGCTGTGACAGACCTAAAGAGAATAATGGAATATAAATGCTAGAACTTCCCCATGCTTCAAATGCCCCCAAATCCTAAGGAGACCTCTTTTTGTGCCCTCCTGAAGCCAGTCTAGAAATAACTTCACTACCATATTTTTCCAGAGTGGTAGGGATGGGGAGGAGGGAATGAGAGATAAACTCTCAAATAAATGTCGCTGTTTTAATTTATGTATTCCTCAGTTATTAAAGGATGTGGTGTGGGGGACGTGGAGGAAAGTGAGTTCTAACTGTCTTGAACCTCATGGGCCATTTCCTCAGAAGAACTTCTTCAGCCTTAACCACTACTTGATTTCACCAAGACCATATTTCTTCTTCTATTATTTCTTGACTAAATTATCTTCATCCTACTCCCTATTGCACATTTTCTGATTAATCTATTGGCATAGCCTTATTCAAAACGTTAAATTTGCTATTTTTATCTCTTCAAAAAATAATGGAGCAATTTCTCCATAGGGAGGGTTGTCATTATACCTCGCTCCCTGACTCTAGTGTCTACCTTTTTATTGTAGGAGCTCATCAAGTTTGATTCTGGCCCATAAGAATGAGATTTTTCAGACTTTTCTAAAGAATGTTGAATATCCACAACTTGTGAGAAGACTAATAGCATTTATACCTTTTAAAATGCTACTCTGATAAGAGGTCAAAATAAAAATAGTTTGAAAAACTGATGGGTCAAGTTATGGCCTTAGAATGAAAGCATAAAAAAGTGGTCATACTATAAACTCTCCACATCATGTTCCCATAAAGTAGCATATGTAATACTGAACTAAAAATGGTCTGAAATCATGTCACTAAACAAGGTTAACTATTTCACTAAGATGTACATAAGAGTATGTATATACACACCCATATATATACACACACATAATGCATTTTTCCTTGAAAAAATCAAACAGATTCAAAAGAAGAGCAATTTGTATAACAAACCCCCATGATTCAGCTAGAATCAATATCAATACATGGCAATCTTCTTTCTTCTATACCTGCTTCCACTCCCCCACTCCAATTATATTAAAATGCATTTCAGACATTAT